GGGCCACGTATGCAAATCGCGCATGTTTACCGTGCATTATAGACGCAAAGTAGCACCGGCCGACCGGTTATCGGGAATATCAAAACGGGGCACGTCCACGGGCAAGAAAGTGATAATCCACAAGAGAGGCGAAACCCATTAGAAATCTTTCAACGTTCGCTGCTACATGGGCATGAGAGCGAGGAGAAGTCGAGTTTCGAATCGAGCCAGCAAACCGAGAGAAAGAAAAGAAAATAATTCTCTTTCTCGAACGATTATTTTTTTTTCTTTTTTTTTCCCGAAAGCAAGGGGCGAGATTTCTTTCGTCCTTCGAAGAGGGATCGAAACCGTTGCCGCCAGGCAATCGTCCCTAGTTGCTTGGCCGTCGTCAAAACCGGCGACAAAAAAAAAAAAAAAAAAAAAAAAAAGGTATGCGGCAACTCGGTAGAAGAAGCGAGAGACTGTCGAAAATTTATGCAGAACCGGCCTCTGAGATCTGCCGCCAGAACGAGCCGACTTACCACGGTGTAACTGTAAAACGACCCAGAAGAAAGCTACAAGATTTACTCCCGTCTCTTCGCAGCTGTGCTTTCCACCCAAATAATAATAATAATAATAATAATAATAATAATAATAATAATAATAATAATAAAAACGTGAGAATCGCGAGAGACGGAGTGTTTCAATCGTTTGGAACGAAATTCGGGCCCCTCTCCTGTCCTCCTTCGAACGAAGATATTCAACGATTCGACGAAATTCGAAAAAATAAAAGAAAGGGGGAGGAGGAACGAGTTCGAATCCCTGATAGATGACGTTGCTTAACAAGATATCGATAACGAAATGAAATGAGAGAAGGGAAGGGCTTTGGGGGGTGAATGGGATTATTTCGATCGCGGAAGAAAAGATCCCTTTCTCTCGGAGTTGCCGCGTTAAAAAAAAAAAAGAAAAAAAAAAAAAAAAAATCTTGCGTGCGTATCGTACCTCGATGACCTCGAGCCATGAAATTAACCAACACACATCGGTCGGGGCAACGTCGGGGAATTTTTGATTATGCGTATCGGGGCGTGGATCAAGGCCGCTATTGACAACGGGTACGAGGCGCCGTCTGTTATTAAGGGAAATAAAAATTATCGAGCGTCTCGGTAACTGGACTCGAACGAAGGGGAAAGTGGAAGGGGAGGGGAGGACAAAAGCGGCCGGGCAATTAAAAAAAACCTTTCCACGAAAAAAGAGAAAGAAGAAAAGGGAGAAAGAAGAAGCAGCTAGTTCGTAGTTTCGTCCCAGATCCCCTCCCCCCCCCCTCCCCCCTAGAGAGGGGGATCATCGCCGATTCCGCGAAACTCGACGAGTTCCCTTCCCATCGATCCCTGCCTCTCCGCACAGTAAAGTAATC